AGACCAGCACACCTGCGGACCCTCGGGTAGGAGAGGCAGACCTAAAACATGAAGTATCCCTGGTTTGTGAGTTCCTGGAAGGTAGTACTAGTGAGATGCGGGCGGAGAAAACTCAAGGTCACTGCGGTGACCGAATGAAGGTCACGGGAAAAGGCGGGGCCACGTGCGTCCGCCTCACGCAAGCAGCCACGCACTGACTCGGGAACCATGCACAGACTCTTTAATTTCTCTAGGGCTAAAATTCCATGCAGATGGGGTCGAGCTTGGGTCGGGGGAATGGGACAGGGCACGGGCCTGACGTCTGGTCGCCCGCTTGAACTGGAGGAAGGTTCACAGAGACATGTAGTACAGCCTCTGGTTCCGGCGCTTCTTGAGCCCCTCGATGTATACCTGCAGCTCTTTAGTCATGAAGTGGGTCTTGCCAATCGTGGCCTTATATGCTAGGAAGAGAGCAGAGCTGAGAGCAGTGCCGTAACAAAGCTCTCCCCCGGTAGGCACCACACCAGTGTGATTCGAGGAACCACAGGTGACTTGGGGTGGCAATTAATGCTGGATTTATTTGGATTTGTGTTTGGGGGATTTTGGATCTCCAAGGTACGATGTGTTAAGGTGAAGAAGGCTGAAAATGCTGCAAGCCTGAACAGAGGCAGTGAGAGTCAGTAGCTGTACAACCTCCACCGGGGCCACCCATTCTAACTAATCATCTGGCCCCTTTCCACGCCTGGATTCTCATATCATGAACAGAAAGTTACCCAGATAATCCAGTATCCAGTAAATGTACCCAAATAATCCAGATGTGTTGCAGCTCCCTCACCTGGGACTGAAGCAAAGCTACACAGAGGCTGTCAGTCAGTCCACTGGACAAGTGAAGAAAACAGACCTGCTAGAAAGTGGCTCCTTTTTAAGTCCTCTGAGTCACTCCGTTGAGTCTGCCTGTGCCTAGTCTCTCTACTTTTAATTTTTGAAGAGTCCTTGAAATATTTGTGAGTGCTGAGGAAATCTGACAAGATGTGCACATCCTAAAATTCCACTCCCAAAGCCCCAAGCCCTGCCAAAGTCACCAGGATCTTTTGTGGAAGCTGGGGTGGGGTTGCTCACTACTGAGGGCTTTGCTGAGAATTTCCAGAACTTCATTCTCCATGAGTTCCATCAGGGGCAGGGGCAGCTGGAAAAGCAACAAGAGGCTCAAACAACCAAGGGACCCCAGTTCTGTGTGGAGCTGAAATGCTCCCCACGTGACCTCCCCAGCCTGCCTGCCCCACTTTCCTGAAACCTGCCCCACCCTGCCACTATTGCAAGCTTCAACCTGCCCTCCTCCTACCCACTACCCACCCTCAGCAGTCTCCCCAGGCCCCTCCAACCCTGTTCTGCTGCTCTGTCCAGTAGGCTTGATGCGGCATTTGCTTTGACAGACTGACTGATGATTCTGAAGTAGACTTTACTGGAGAAATGAAAAGAGAAACCAGTCATCTTCGGGCTCCTGGATCTTCCCTGGAGCAGAGTTGTATATTCGTAGGCACATGATGGGGTCAGAGATTAGTTCCACATACTACCTTCCTTAAAGACTATATGGGATATAGGTTACATCCCTAGGATTTAGAATCCCACCCAACTGGGATCCAGAACTGAGTGGCCCACTGTGTGAGACTTGGAGACTCTTTGATTCGTCACATGTAAACAGAGTCATAGGAATTGTCTTTTATGAGAATGGTTCATCTTGTGTGATTGTGTTGTTGGGAATGGAACCCAGGACCTTGAATGAGCTATCAAAGAACTCTACCAGTAAGCTACACTCCCCAGCCCAGAATGGCCTCTTATGGAAGTTGTAATGTGTAAACATCACAGTACCACAAGTCCTATGCCTGATGCATAACAAGTGTTCAGTATATGTTAATTGCTCTATTGCTGTCAAGCTTGTTTGTTTAGACAGGATCTCTATGTGGACCTGGCTGTCCTAGAACTCAATATTTAGACCTGGCTGGCTTGGAACTCACAGATAGCCACCTGCCTCTGCCTCCTGAATACTGGGATTAAGGGTGTATACTTCTACACCTGGCTTTGTTATCAGTGCTAATTCCCTAAAGAAGTTGGAACTGGAAGGGACAGACACACAAGTCTCAAACAGTGCTTGGCATACTGTGAATATACTTTTCTAAACCAAGTCAGACATGGTGGTGATGTGTGTAATCCCAACACTCAAGGAGATACCGAGAATCCAAGGTCATCTTGGGCTACATAGTGAGACTCTCATTCCGAAAAACAATACAAAATAAAAATAGTAACTATTGACTAAAAGAGACACCAAAACAGAGAGATCCGAGCCAGGGAATGAACTCTGTCCTTTCAGCTAGCACAGTGATGAAATTAAATCCACAGGTGAGGGAGGGCTTGAAATGTAGTTCAGCAGTAGAGAACTTTCCTAGCATGCGTGATGCTCTCGGTTTGGCCCCAAGCACCACATTAAACAAGAAACCCACCATGTCTTTACTGTCCTGGCTACCTGTGCTTTCTTCTGCGTTTCCCGGGTTCAGAGTAGTAGGGCGCCTGCCCGTAGGGGGCGCTCAAAGAATGTCTGTTTGAGTTAAATCTTGACGGATTCGAGCCCACACCCCCTCCAGGAAATCCTAGAAACTTGTGATCCCATGGGCTTACCCCCATTTCGCAGGAAGGGAAGTTGAGATCCTGGCTAGCCCCACCCCTGCGCACACCCATCGGCCCAGGGAGACCACACTGACCAAGGGGGATCACAGATTCGTCGTGCTCCTCTTCTACCGAGAAATCGCGCTCCAAGGATCTGCCACGGCGCAGCTCTAGCTCTAAACGCGCTTGCTGCTGGATCTCCTCTGAGTTGAGGTTGAGGTTTTCCTTTAAAGAAATGGTCTGGCTGTACCTGCGAGACTTCTCTACAGTTCTGCCCTCCTCGTCGAAGTCCTCGCAGACGTCGGACACCGACACGTTCGCTGTAGACAGCGTGGCGGTGCTCCATAGATCACGAACATCTCCGTGCAGGCTCGACCTGACGGAGCTGCGGCGATGGTGTACGTGTTTGGGCGCAGCCTGCGGGTCACACACAAAAAAAGGAAGCCTAGGTAGGCATCCAGAGAGTTGGAGAGGGCAGGGAGAATGGGCTGGAGTGGGGACGGGCAGCGCCCAGGCTAAATGACAGGTTATTCTAGGAGTCCTAAAATGAATCTGGGCTCAGGGCACTCAGGCAGACTTCTTACTTTGGAAAGGTTTTCTTCCATCGTTCCGCACCAACGGACCAGCCTCCACAGGACTTAGTGGAGAAGGGAGTCACGCTCCAGGAAGGGGGAGGGGACAGAGTCTCCTCCCGGATGGCGATAATGGTCTCGTGGGAGGAGACTTCAAACCGCAGTTGTCATCAAGACTCTAAATTGCTCCCACCCCCAATGTCCATGCCAAGGTTGCAGGTGCACAGGCCAGTTCTGAATTCGGGTCTCCTCCAGGCATGGACAAGAGTCTGAATACCTAAACCCAACCAAAAAGGGCACGACTTGACTGGTGTGGGCGCCCAGGGATGAGAGTGGGCTGGATATACCTCCCCATGGTGGCGTGAGAAAAGCACTCGCACACCCACTCGGTCTCAGGAGGACTCACTCGGTGGTGCAGACCTTTTGTTTATTGATGCAGGTATTGAGGCACAGTCGTGAAGTGTGAGGGGCAAACCGGGCCAGGACAGCCTTTTGTTTATTGATGCAGGTATTGAGGCACAGTCGTGAAGTGTGAGGGACAAACCGGGCCAGGACATCGAGACAGAAAATCTTGGATGGTGGGATTTGGAAATGGTTGGATGTGAGGAACCAGTCGGGGAAGAGCTGTGGCATTTGGCAACCCTTGGACTGCCAGGGTTGCAATCGAGTTGAACAAAAGAGGGCTCTTTGGTTAAATAAGCCAAACATGCCTGGGCATCAGGAAGAAAGAAGTCCCTGGCGGGGGAAGAGGGTGTCCCGGGCCAAGGATCCTACCCTACGCCGGCCTGGCCTTGTCTCGGAGACGCCCAGGACCCCGGGGTTTCGAGGGCTTCCTGGGTGCATTGGGACGGCGGCGACCCCGAGGTGCACGAGGCAGGGCGCAGCCACGTTCACTCTGCGTGTCTGAGGACTCATCAATGAAGGCCAGATTCTCACTGGGGTAATCCAGAGCTGAGGCCGTTGGCGGGGAAGGTGTCTTGGCTTTCTTTGGGGACCCAGGGGATACCGGCATGCTGGCTGGCTCTACAACACCAGGAGGTGCAGGCAGGGAGGAGGGAAGGAATGGTTGCTCCTTCTCTGGCGGTGGGGCGCTGGGCCCGGCTCGCTGGGTCACTCGTGCTGTCACTGTGCCGGTCCAGCTAGCAGCCTGAGCCGTGAGGCCACCCATCTGCACAGAGAGGAAAGGATGTCTGCCGATGTCTGCCGACTGCAACTCCGGGAACTGGCCCTTCAACAATCGCATCCATCTTTTCGCCTGGCCCTCGAGCCACAGGCATGCACCCCTTCTCCAGGAGCCTTTCTAGAAAGCCCCAGTTTTGTTTCGATCTTCGCTGCCTCTCTGTAGTTGGCAGCAAAATGCAGGTTTCAGATAAATCAAAATATTTAGTATCAGTATGTCTCATACAATATTTGGGGCATGTTCTAAAATCTTATTTGTTGTTCATCTGAAGTTCACATGTAACTGGCGTACCTAGTTTTGTTGTTTTTAAATAGAGTCTCATTCTATAGCCCAGGCAGGTCTGAACTCGCAGCCATCCTCCTGAGTCTGCTCTGCTTACCAAGTGCTGGGATTTACAGACATGTATCACCCCGCCTTTCTGTTTTTTTATTTACCTTATCATGGAGGCCGAGAGGTCGAGTCCCTGGCAAACCTGAATTTACCCCCATTGTACCCAGTAGCTCACATTCTGAGTCTCGGTTTCCGAGGAAACCACATTTTGGAGGGGAGTGTGGCTAGTCAACCAGCTGCTAAAGGTACAACACACAGGTGACATGCTCAGCGCATGCGCAGAGAACAGACCCTGGGAAGCGTACCTCTGCCCGTGTGCGGCGGGAAACCGCTCGCAACCAGTTGCCGATGGTGGTGAGCACCGAGGCGAAGTAGGCTAGGCCGAATAAGATCCAGAACCACGCCAGAGGTTGGTAGGCTGAGTTGTGCCTGGAGCTAGTGCCTAGACATTTCACAGGGAGGGAAAAATAAACTGATGGGGGGCAGGAGGCAAATGTGTGAGCCTCTGGTTCTGCCGGTTTCTGCACGTTGTTGAGAGATTACCCTCCCCAGAAAAAAAGGTGTTTGCTACAGTATGTAAATGTATGCAGGATGAATGTGCATGAGTTGTAATTGTGTATAGTAAGAGCATGCAAGGGGGTGAACTTATATATGTATGAGCATGCATGGAACTCAGGCATACAAGATGTAACTGCACATTAGGTGCTGCCTGCTGGAACACCGGGTGCATTTCATGATGGGTGTGGGAGCTGGGCAAATAGCCCTCAGCAGTGCATAGGCAGAGTGCAGGAATAAAGTAGTTAGGAAAAGTTAGCCTCACCGGGCACATAATCGCCAAAGCCCACGGTGGTAAGTGTCACTATGACAAAGTAGATAGCTTCCAGCTTGCTCCAGCTCTCCAAATAGGAGAACACGAAGGTAGGAGTTAGGACAAAGAGCAAGCAGCCAATGAGCAGGAAGAGCACTGCAGACAGTATTCTCACCAACCCAGGTGGCACATGCCATTTCTGCGGGAAGGGGCAATAGATAGGGCCATGGAGATACCAGTAGCCTCCCCATTCTCCCCGCCCCACCCAACCTCCATCCTGACTTACTGTGAGGCTCTCTAGGAGTGCACACTCACATGCCAAGGAAAGAGTACCCTATGAGGACACAGTGCAGCTCACCAAGAAGACTGCTTCGATGTGGCCGATGCCCCGCCGCAGAGAGGAGCCCAATCGGTCCCCGACCCCGGCCAGCAGCATCCCGAACAGCGGGATTCCCACCAGTGCATAGAAGATACAAAAGAGACGACCGGCATCTGTCTGTAAGGCTGTGTTGCCATAGCCTGGAGATAGGGGGCAGTGCAGGAAATCTAGGTGCTATCTGGCACCCGCTACCTCTCCCTGCACCTTCCCCCATAGGGAAACTCCTTGCCCCTTGCCTCCCTCCACATGCTCCATCTCCTCCCCCACCGACGGTAGTGATGATGGTCCCCGAGAAAAAGAAGGCGCTGCCCAGGTTCCAAGCTGATGAGTGGTTGCTGTTATTGGTCCAACTGGTGTCTGGGTTTGCACCCCCTCCCAGGGTTTTAGCCAGGAGCTGCAGGACAAGGCGCACAAGGAGGAACCTCAGTCCTTCCTTCTAGCTGGGCCAGCTCCCAGCCCTCCCCTTTCCTTACATAGCTTACTGGCTGTGTCGCTTCTTTTCTTCTCTCCTGTTTGGTTTTAGTTTTTGACAATGTCTCTCTCACTCTCTCTACCTAGCTATCCTTTTGTGGTTGGCTGGTTTGGTTTGTTGAGACAGCATGTCACTATGTATTCCAAGATACCCTGCTGTGTAATCCAGGCTGGAACTATTGATCCCTCTTGCCTCAGCCTCCCAAGTGCTAGAATTACAAACATAAAGCCACCATAACTGACTTGGCATGACAGATTCCTGACTTTACTGTCAGGAGCACAAATACTAGGAGCAGGTGCCTGAGTTCAATCTTGGCCACCCTGGGCAAGGTAATGTGTGGTTCCTCAGTTCCCTCCTCTGTCACATGGGGGTGATTGTCAGAGCACCAATACCATAGATAATGGCATGAAGAATAAACACTGGGTATTTGTTGGGTAATTTCTCACATGGTCTTTATGTCCTGTGAGTTCCTGTTTTCTGAAGACCCCACCACTCCCACTGCTCCTGTGGAAAGTGAGTCTGAGTGCCTGGCCTTTAAACAATGTATTGAAATGTAAGACCTTCCCTCCAGAAAAGTTCACTTACCTCCATCAAATTTTGTGGCCGATTTTAGGATGTTTATATGTGTGTGCTTGTGTACACATGCCACCTCATAACATCGAAGACAAACCCAGTATTTCATATGGAGTGCTCAGTAAGCATGAATGAGTGAAGGGCCAGGGCCAGGGCCATGCCTTTCTTTCCTACCTGCAAATTCCCCAGGGGAAGTCTTTGTCTGGAAAGAGCTTATTGTGGGTGCTGGGTTGTCAGAGCACCCAGAAGATGACATGTAGAAGGGCCCTTCCCCAAACTAAGCAAGGAGAGAATCCACAGGGAAGTTTACAATCTGTCTCATCTCCCTGATGACAGTCCCCATTAGCAAGACCCACTCCGAGTTCATCCTCCCTGAAGTAACTGCTGTAAACCCTCAAGGCTTCAATTTGTGGGGAGGAGAGTCTAGACTCCTTAGTTCAGCATTTACTTATTATTTTGGGGAGGAAAAATGTCTCTTATTGTCTAGGCTATGTAGTTGAGGATCCTCTTGCTTCTACTAAGTGCTGACATTACAGGTGTGACCTACCCTGCCCAGTTTTGGCAGTGCTGGAGAGGCAACCCAAGCCTGCAGCATACTAGGCAAGTACTCAACCAATTGAGCCACAGACCCTGCCTCTCTTATTAGAGGTTTGTTTGCTTTTGTTTTGGGAGACAGGAACTTACTCACTAGCCCAAGCTAACCTGGAATTCACAGTAGTCCTCCTGCCTCAGCCTGAGAGTTGAGATTAGAGGTGTGAGCTACAAGCATTTTTCCAAACTGGTCTTGACCTTTCCTCTTGAGATTCTGATTTTGCACCCCAAAATACAGCAACCTTCTCCCCAGATTCTCTGAGGCAATTCCATTTTCTGTAATAATGACCTTTGAATAAAGAGGTGAGATGTCTGATTGAAAGTGATTTAATCTTTTTTAGATTTATATTTTTATTTTATTTTATTGCATGTATGTATGTGTATGTATCATGTGCATGCCTGGTGCCCACAGAGGCCAGAAAAGGGTTTGATTCTCTGAATCTAGACTTACAGATGGTTATGAGCCACTGTGTGGGTGCTGGGAACCAAATCCAGGTCCCCTACAAGAGTAGCAAGTACTCCAAATTTCTGAGTCATCTCACCAGCCCCAGTGATTTAATTTTTATTTTGCAACTTCTCCCCACATCCCCCAAATCCTTCATTATCCAGTGTGTTCTAATTTTTGTTTCAAATGACCAGGCATCTGCTATCTCCAGTTTCTGCTACACACTCTGAGCTTGCCAGCTTTCCACTCTGTTGCCATGCTGTTCCTCTGCTTGGGAGTTGTTTGTCCCCACACTATAAATTCTGTCCCTCTCATTTGGTACTTTCCAATGACCAGCTCTCCCCAAAGCCTCTGCATCTCCCTTCATTCCCAGCACACAACTCAAAGTCCAGCAATTAGTGGGTGCTTAGTGAAGAAGGAAAGAGTCTCCCTTTCCATGGCTTCCTACAGTGATCTGTCTGTCCCTGAACCTGTGCCTTAGATGCGACTCCCTCCACTGAGAAGCCCCATCTGCTTCACCCCAATATTTGTACCTCTACCCCCCCAACACACACACCCAGCACACATAGACATATAA